CCCAAAGCAGGGGGTTTGCTCTGATCCCACTTTCGTCATATGCCTGATCTTGATATTGAGTTTTATTTGGGCCCTATCATACCAGGTAGTTCATGAGCCTTGTATACAGGCGAAGCATATGTAACCAAGTCCATATTTCAAAACTAAGCTCTAATTTATTTATGGAGGAAAATAACAGTTACCACATCAGCATCCTCTTCATTCATCAGATTCTATCATCCACAGGTTTGAAGGCCAAAGAACGAGCAGACATCCACATCATGGTCTACTTGATAAAAGCGAAAAAGTTGATGATAAGAAGTTAGCGTAATTGTGGCTGGTTACTTTCTCTGATTACTGTTATGGTGATCTTTTCGTAAACAATCATTTCTGGCTCAGAAAATGTCCGTCATGGCGGAACAGATTACACGGATTTATTGGGGACGCTGCACGGAGAGCTGAGGACTTTTTATAGAAAATCTACTATCATATCTCCAAGGCAATCATTCTGCGGTTGAAGATAAGGCCAATTTACATATCTCGTCCACCAAAATTTTCAAATGGGATGAAAGATACAGCAGCACAACAACGCGTTTCCTACCTGCCTGCAGGAGACGGAGTCTCGCTCAAAGATCGACTCTTTTTCCAGTGCCTCTGTGACTTTTTCCGTCGAATATGGCATACATGTCTGCTCGTAGCATGAATCTCGATGTGTATTCGACTCCGGTGTTATAGGCACCTCAGAGAAGGAGGTAAATGACCCATCGGAATCTGACCGTGTCATCATGGGCAGAGGAAAACGGGTGGGGCTGGAGGCTAGCCGTCCCGACAAAAATGTTTGTCCACGTCTCTTATCGAAACAATCGCTGCTTGAGGTGTCGGTAGATGGCGCCATTTGACTGCGGGGCAGCTCCCCATCATTGCGTGAATTTGGCCGCCATAAGGCCTCGTTCGCGACTTCCGTCCTGGTAGTCTCTTTATGGCGGCAAAAATTAGCTTTAGTCGCCGTAGTAACCAATGTCATCTTAGCGCTGTTCGGAGAGCCGAAGTACACAGCAGCAGCAGCATCACCTATAGTGGTGCAGCCGATTGGTTCACCACCATTCTCTTTGCTTGGACACTCCTCATTAAACCCTCCTCGTTGATCTTCCTTTTCCTCCATGTCAGTCTCCTCTTCCAGACAGCTGATCTGCGACACCGAA